CAGACAGAGTACCTGTCCAGGAAGAGAGCTATCAGCACAGATACCTACATTATGGTACAAACTAGGCGTGGCAGACAGGGAGGGACCTGACAAGGCCTATTTAATTGAAGTCCTGTATGTCCCATTGTTTCTGAGTGGCCCAGCAAACGTGTTTACCAAACATTGACTTTTTCATCTTCCATCTTCAAAGGGAAAGAAAGCAAATTGTTAAAGTAAGAAGCAAAGTAAATTTCTTTCCTTCCCTTTGAAGTCTCAGATCCCTATCCCCTTCTCCCTAGTTCAGAATGATATCTATACCTCATTTTGCCTGACCTGTCTTTGGAACTTCCATTTCTATGTGGACTTCCCGTAACTAAAAACTTAAATTTGATTTTCTCACATTAATCTGTTTCTTGCCAATTTGATTCTTAGTCCTGCTAGAAATACCTTGAAGGGCAGGGGAAAATCACCCTACCAAACAGCCCCCCAAAAAAGATAACTCTCACTTTATATCATTACCAATATGTTATGAATTGTAACATATATAGGTAATTCATAATGTATACTACCTTGGGATTATTCATAGTGAGCATTTACTGAGGGCTCATTTTATAGCCAACACTTGAGAGGTGTGCTTTTGTTTATAGGATAACACTGAATTTTCACAGCAGCACTATGAAGTATGTACATTTATGTTCTTCATTTTACAGATGAAAAAAAAAAACTAAGTTTATTAGTCTAGAGAGTCCAGACATAAACATACATAGAAATGGCTCTGAAAACAGGAGCCTGATTTCCATGCCATTTTAGCATTGGGTTTTATACCTTTATATTCTTAATTTGAGAATTTGGAAATTAATGGGATAAATAGCATTTCTCGGAGTTTTTAACTGCTTTGGAATTCTTACTCTGTAAAATAAACATAAGCATTATATATATATTTGGCAAAATTATCTAGATTGTGGGAGAGAGTTCCGCATCATTAAAGACTACAGAGAAAGAAATATTGCCAGGCTTTTCTCAAGTTCTGCATTTCTCCCCTATACCCTGTTGTGGAGGATAAACCATGGCAGAGAACAATAACTCTCCAGCTCAATGCTGGAGAAGATGAAATTGCTGGTGAAGAGGGTAAACCATGGCAGAGAACAATAAAGAGCTCTCCAGCTCAATGCTAGAGAAGGTGAGATTCACCTTCAACAGCATTGCCAGGAATTCAGGTTGTCTTGTGCTCTGATGGTGATAACTACACATCAACTCCATCTCTCCATTTGGTTAACCAGGCAAAAACTTTCAGTGCATAGATTATTTAGCCTCGTTAGCAAACCCAACTCTATTCCAGACTGAATTCTGGCTCCTAAATCTTAACTCAGAGGTAGATCCTCCCTAGCATCCTAGAGACTTCCCAGAATCAGATTTTAATTTTCATTGACTATATTTTTAACTATTGTCTGCCCCCAGATCCCTCGGTTCTGTTCATTGACTTTTGATCTGACAGTTCAACACCACAAGGAACATTTTATTGTTGATCTTATTAGTGTAAATAAACAATCACATATAGATTCCCAATTACAGGGTAGCTACTGAGATGGTTTTAGGAGAAAATATAAAAATGATATACTACCAATATTCAGCTGATTTCTAATCTACAAGAGCTTACCCCAGACAGTCTCAAATTCAGGATTATATTCTGAGTATTTCAGTTATATTCACTTACTTTCCATCACTATATAGAATATTTTGCTTTCTATAAATATGGTATATGATATGTCAGCTTTAAAAAAAAATATGGCTCCTAAAGTGGGAGGTACTGAACAATAATATTTTTCAGAATACATCTAACCTAAGAGGTCCAAAAGAAAAATGGAGGATACAGGAGTTTCACCATACAGAAATGCAATATTTGCAGATAAATGTCAGTTTCTTCCTAAAATTTTACATATGGAGAGATATAGGTAACATATTTTTTACTGATAGTTTTCCATGCATTAATAAAGAACTAATACTTATCTTTATACATGATTCGAAAGAGCTCACCATACTCCTAAGGAAGGTTGATACTCCATTGGTTGACGGATTATAATCCAATTGCTATGAACTTTTTAGATTGGTTCAAAGCTATAGGAGCCAAGGGACTTCTATTGGATTTTGAGAATCCTGGAACTTGTTAGGAGCCATCAGTTCTTTCTCATAATGGGCCCTGATTTGTCCTCGGATATTCAGAAATCTTCCCAGGGCTCTTTCAGAGATCCCACTTAATGTGAGAAATTTTTCATAGGATTTCCAAGATCCTGAACCCATCATTTTAAAGCCAATAACAAAAGCAAGATCAAATCCTAGGCATACTAAAACAAAATCAACCAAATAAGCAATAAACAAATAAAAAGGTAATCAAGTTCATAGTCTTTGTCACATTATATTTTGGCAAAGACAATCTAAATCATTTGTGAGACTCCCTAAATGCCTCTCCTTTCAGATGATGTGATGATATTTCAATTTCTCCAATGAATAATAACTTTGTACTTTTTATCTTCCTATGGGGATGTGCTAGAGTTCAAGAGTGATTTTCTTTGGTGCATAATGTAAGATGATTTTGTTTGTCCTGGCAGTTGACAAATGTTTTGTTTCTATTTGCTTAGTTTGCTTATTCTTTCTTGCTTGCTTGCTTGCTTTTTCTTTCTTTTGCTTTTTTTTTTTTTGTCTGTTTACTCATGCTCCATTGCATAACACAATTTAATGCTCTGTTCTATTTGTTTTAGCTCACAAGAAATGTGGGATGATTTTGTTAAATAAAAACATTATAAGTAAAGATTCCTGGGGGAAAAAGTGAGTTAGAGTCAGGCCCCTGGGTATCAGTCTACTCATAGATCTGCAAATGATTTTTTTTTTTTTTTGGTACTTCTGACTCAACCTGAAAGCACATTTCTGGTGCCCTATTTATAACTGGATCCTATGTAGAAAACAACTCATATTATTACCTAGTATTGTTGTAAGAATCAAATTGATTATAAACCAGTAAACACACTGATATGCAGGCTACATGATTAATTTTTAACTTGTAGATTCTCTCATAAGGCAGTCTGTCAGGAGATTTTCAATCAATAGCAATAATTAGGCCTCTTTTTCTAATATAAATATTCAGTGAACCATTATTCTTTCTTGACTTTGAGGTAGATAGGCAAAAAAGGAAGTGTGTCTTTCAACAAGCTGTTCTGACCTATAAGCTCAATAATGACACCATATAATAGGCAGTCAGTGTGCTTGTTAAAATTAGAAAATAAGGGGGATCCCTGGGTGGCGCAGCGGTTTGGCGCCTGCCTTTGGCCCAGGGCGCGATCCTGGAGACCCGGGATGGAGTCCCACGTCAGGCTCCCGGTGCATGGAGCCTGCTTCTCCCTCTGCCTATGTCTCTGCCTCTCTCTCTCTCTTTCTGTGTGACTATCATAAATAAATTTTTAAAAAATTAGAAAATAAGCCTACTTGTTCATTTTTTATATTACTTTTATTCATAGATGATACTTAGAATCTTGGCACCTGACTTGAAGGAAGTAAGGTTTGCCTGATTTGCTCTTTTATAAGTGCTGGATTCTCTACCATTTCAGCTCAGGGTATATATTTACTGGAACCTAATGCTTTCCTATTCAGAGCTAGATAAAAGTGAATATTGTCATGCAGTCAGAGCTAGGGGTGAAAGTAGGGTGAGGAGCATAAGAGAGTGCTCAAAGTACTACCCCAAGAGAAATCTTAACAGAGGGAAAGTTCTACTGCAGACCCTTTTAGCTTAAAACTCTTGGTAGGGAGCCAGTGCACCCTTGGAGAATTCTCCAAACTCCGGGCATTCTACTTGTCTTATCCATTCAACATGATGTTTCACAGTGGGTGGATTTTAAGGGAAGTTTGCACAGCACTTGAAATAATTACAAGAATAATGATTGGTTTGGACAAAAGAATGCACTGCCAAAGAATATTGAATAATGGATGCTATTGAGTAATTTCCCAGTTTAAGCTATCTTCCACCCAATGTCAGAATGATTGCTTTTTTTTTTGTGGTACCTAAACTGCATATGAGCAACTATCCATTTACTCACAGTGGCATTAAATTCTCTTTCCTACAAACCGTAAAAGCTCTATTTTCCCAGCTTGCCAATTTTTATCCTACCCACCAACTATGCAATCAAAAATAGTAAAAAAAATGTGGGGCCAACAAATTGCTGAACTGTTCTATCAAACAATATGTCACGGTCTAGGTCTTTACTGCCTTTTAAGAAAAGTTACTACTTTTCTTGTGAGTGTTGATCATCCATAGTTCATACAGATAGCAATTATACCATCCTGGTTGCCCTTCATTCAAAGAAACATTGATATTTGTGGACACATAAAATCACACGTGATATGTTTATCTAAGCAGATAAGTTCCATCATAATATCAACTCAATTAACAGCCGTGAATCTTTTTCTGAACGGTTGCAAGAATATAAGCATTCTCTTACAAATGTTCCAAGGGTAAATAGTTGAAAGTAACCCAATATATTCAGATTTGACAAGAAACTGATAATGTATTGAAATAAAAATTAAACTGTGATTAGAATGTTGAAAATGCTTTCCTTTACAGGAAAAAGGGAAAAGATAGAAAATCATGAGTTATTTACTTCTTATTATTCTATAATTTTGTATGTGTAAGGTCCACACCAGATTTCATATACCAAAAAGGAAAAAAAAAAGGAAACTATCTCATTTTTGCATCGATTTGATCTGTTGTATATATTGAATTAAATAAGACATAATAAAATTAATTACTACCATTTTATTTTACTTCTGTTACAGTGACACTCAGAAAATTTTAAATTACAGATGAGCCTCTCATGCTTTAAAATATGTGGATGGTACAAATCTCATTCTTGTTATCTGTGTACTATAATATGTTTGTCTTTATAGATACTGTTATAAAAAATAAAAATATGTGTAAAAGTCCAGAGATAGGAGCCTTTAGCAAAGCATATATGTAATCTACTAGTATATAAATAACTTTAAAATGGAAATGAAAGGATTTTAATGTAGATTAATAATTGTTTTTTAATAGTTGTAACATGGAAGACTTAAAAAAATTAAAAGTATTCATTTAAGAGGAAAGTACAATGATACATATTAAATAGAACACAGAAAAAAATCATTGTTATATGAGAAAATACTCCTTTTTGTAGCTAATAAATTAAACTTGACATGATGTGAAAAAATGAAAATTTTAACAATGCATTCTAAGGCAGTGCTAGTAGTGGATGGGGCCATGGTTTCTGCCTTTAGCCTTCATTGATCTTAGATTTGGGTAGTGGCCTTGTGTTCTTGTGTTTGCTACTTAGTGTCTTATTCTTGGTTCTACACAAAGTAGAGTCTGAGACAAAGGCTTGCTTGTCAGCAGTTTGTCTGTTACCTGGTCTGAGGGAGGAAGGCATGTAGCACAATAGGAGTAAAAGAGAAGAAAAGAAGGCCTGTTCAAAAATGACTTAACAAATTGAACATTAATTTTAGGACCTTCTGTGGAGTCTTATGAAATATGTTTCAAAACTGACTGCAACAGGATAAAAAAGTGGGAGAAAGGGCACATTTCTTATTGTCTCCTGGACCCATGGGTCAGGAATAGTTGCACAGACATTTAATACCATCAGACTTCATTGGTCCATATCCTGGTAATGTGGGTCTGGGTTGTGCCTGTACGAAGGCAGAGCTGTGGTTGTCCCATGCTGTGGTGTAGAGGAAGCCTAGAGGCAAGAAGTGAGAAGTATGCTTAGTCCAAGACATACAGTGACTTCATCTTTGTGAAGCCCGTTGACATCCTTTTGGAATTACTTGCTGTTGCTGCAGCAGTGGCTAGAAGAAAAGAGAAGAAACAAGATTTTAGAATGATGCAGGAGAGGTGTGAAAATATTAAGTACCTACAAGTTGCAGTTTTCTCACTTTGAAATGGGAATGAGAATACTACCTTCCACACACTATTGTTATGAATATTAATCAAGATCGTAATGATAAAGTATTAAGCACAGTGCTTGGTACAATGCCCCTTTGTAGTAGATCTTAATTATTTGATTACTTAGGATCAGCTACAGTATGCTGTGTAACAAATAATCCCAGATTCTAATGCTTAAGAAAAAAAATATATGAATGTCCATTGTGTGTTACCAGGAGGGATCTGGTCATTGTGGTCACCCATGATTCAAGGCCTATCATTGGGATGATAAGATTGTTTGTTTTTTTTTTTTTTTAAGGAAGGATGAAGAAATACAAAACACATTTCACAAAGAATGTAAACTTTTATTTGATAATTTTATCTATGCAAGAAGCAGCTCAAAGACTGAAATGATACCTACTTTCCAATTACCTTCTCTATGCTTGTACCCCAAAGACCCTGATTTTCGATCTTGTCAGGTACATTAAAGACTGTGTAACCAAATTATATTGAATTACTTATTTACTGATTTGTATTAAAATCAAGATCTACCATGAGGAAAAATAAGGATAAATTACACACTTCCACATTTCCTTCCAATTTGTGGTAATTTATGAATACTACAACGGTCACACTGATGAAAGGTCAGAAAATGAGGAAAGGGTTACTTGGAAAGAAGGGAATTGCAGAGTTTGAAGGAATACACAGCTGGGTCCTTTCTCTGTGATTCAGAAAAGATAGAGCAAGCTCCAAGGCTTCAGCTGGCATCTTGTTTTCCGGGGCGGGAAGGCGGGGGGTGGGGGGGCACTGTGCTAATGAGGTGAAAAGTGACCTGCATGCTCATTTTCTGGCTCCTGACTCAGGAATGGTGCGACATGCTGAAAAGCTGACAGCGTACACTGTGTTAGAGATTAGATCATGCAATACCTAACAGATGCTCTTAGGGTCTTTGAAATAGCAAATCTAAAGTTTCAAAACTGCATGTGTTTTTCATCTAAAATGCTGAAGGAGTAACAGTGCTCCTGCTAATTTCACATACTTTCACATATGGTTCCTTCATTACAATGTGTCAAAAGCTAGTTGCCTACAAATTACTCTGTTTGCCAATCCAATCAATAATAATGACCTGTGAGGAGCCCACGAATGTCCAATTTGATTTGGATGTATTTTGCACTCTGACTCTTCTATAAGGAAGTGTCTTTCTTTTGATAGCATTAATATCACCTTTTCAGGTTAGCCTTGCAAACTCAGGCGTCAAGGGGCTTTTCTTTTATTGTCACCACATGAAGGGTATCTCTTTGGTTATGGCACTGAGGTTAGTATGGACAGAACATATGTGTCTGTGGATCTCTGCCTATTGGGGGATAAGGGAGGAGGGAAAGGAATTTACCTGGAATTGAGAGCAGCATACTTTGTAAATTACATTTCAAAAGGAATACAGTGAAATAGTTATGTTAACATAAAACAAATGCCAAGTTTGCCTAATCATACAGTAAGAGAAACATGAAAATGGCCCTGACAAGTTTTCTCTCCTAGGTGTTATAGTGAAAAAAGTAAGTTTCCTGCATCAGAAAGGCAATGGCTTCACTATGACTGCTGAGGAAATGTGGTGTAAAGGCTGGGTCATTCAGTCTGCTAAAAAAGAGAAAAGATTATCTTTATTGTAATAGGAGTAGCAGCAAGGGGAACACCACTAATCTCTTCAGGCAATGAAACCTCATAAATAGGAATGAAGAGAGTAGAGTCTGGAAAGATAATATGCCATTTACTAGTGGGAGATCAGAATAGCATTCTAGGTTTTAAATAGAAAGAAACTCTTGAAGAGATAGCATGCGTTTAAATTCAGTGAGTAAAAGACCTGGTCTCTGAGTACAAAAGAATATAAACCTTCAGATTTCTTGAATTGGATGTTTTTTTTCCCCTCCCATCCTTTGCTGTATCACAAGTATTGAAAGTAAAAGCTCTTTTTTATCATGTGGGGAAAGAAATGAAATTCCTAAAGGGATAAGATTACTTGGTTGTTTAGAGCCTAGATCTAATTAACCATCAAGTATTTTTGTAAAGAAAAAGAAAGAATGAAGAGGGCTTTACAGAAGAGGTAAAGGAAGGGGAATATATGGACTTAGAAGACTTAGTGCTCAGAAAGAAGATTGTTCTTCCAGACCAAAAGGAATAGCTGACATGTGATAAAAAGAGAAGAAAGAAAACAAGAAATGAGGAGAGGAAAGAAAAGGAGAATAGAATGGAAATACAGAGATTATCTGCAACTATGATTATCTTACCTAATGGAATCTTCCTAAACACCATGAAATCTTTAAAAAAGAAAAAAGAAAGAAGGAGATTATTAAGAAGCCATTGTTCTTGTTACTGCAATTATTGAACCATCTATACAAGCTCTTCAGGATGGAATTTGATTTTGATGCAATAATTTATCAAACTGGTGGTTAATAAGATTGAGAAATTGTTTCAGGGCTCTTGGTTCTGAGAAGTGCCCTCCTTCCCAATTCTTTGATCACCAACTGGTCTCAGGTATTTTTATTTCCCCATCACATTTGGAAAATTGATAGGCAAATTTCATTATAACAGAATCTTTACTTTGATGCATCTGAATTCCAAAGAAAAGACATGATCAAGGGACATCTACTACAGAATGTTCTGGGCTAGGCATCAACCAGTCTGGGCAAGTCAAAAGGAGAAGAGAGAGGAACTAGGAAGTATATCTTGCTTCTCCAATCAACACTCACTGAGGAAAAAGATGCTAATTGTGTCTCAATTCACACAGCATGAGCTTTACTTTAAGTAGCAATGGATCTCATGAGGGTCATTTCTGATGGGCTTTGGAACCAAAAGGGAGCTGATCCTGCACCCACAGGCTAGCTGACCTCTTAAGTACCACCCACTGCATAGAACACAAAAAGATTGGCTTTACTTGATCAGCAGCCAGATTCTTTTAGTCTACTGTTTTGAAGGAGACATGCCGAAGTGTCTAATGCCTGTCTAACTTATCCCATTTAGATATACCCCTTCACAACACTTCCAGGAAACCCATATGCCTAAGCAAAAGATTTTTAAAAATTCCCATATCTATACTTTAGGAATGAAGAGAGAACAAAACACAGTTTTGAAGTTGTCTGAGCTTATAATCTGGTTAATAAAAACATTTTATACAAACATGAAAAACCACTCGACATGAATATAAAAAAAATCCTTTACTCATTTCATGTGATTATTCAAGATAGTGGTATGTCAAATGAAGGACAGGATTTTGGCTGGACATAAAACTGCAAATGTGTCAACTTCTTGCAGAGAATTTGCTTGCCACAGGTAGTAATCTGACAAAAAGAAGTATAATGCACAGAGGAATATGATGGTTATTTTATTTTATGAATTTTGAAGGTTTTTTAAGGAATTAAGACGTGGATATTTTCATAATCTTTTGAATTAAGAGTTTGGGTGCTGTCCTTGCCCATACCTTGTCTCCTGATCAGAGAATTTTGAAGGGCCTTGGTTCCAGTGGAGGTGGTGACAGGTCTCATTTCACAAGCCCACTAGAGCACACCTAGTTAAAACTCACCACACTCAGGCCAGGGACCAAATACTGCCCACAGCAGGCAAGGAAAGCTTCTGCAGATGGCGACTGAAGGATAGAGCAGCCACAACATGACAGCAGAGTTGAAGAAACTCCCTGAAGTGCCAGGCCCTGAGTACTACTTGATCTCATAAAACCATTACACTCAGGAGCAAGAGACATAACTGACTTTTCTAACACAGAGAAGCTGGCAGAGACAAAATGAGAAGACAGAAAGTGAAAGAACAAGATAAGGCAATGGTAAGAGATCTAAATGAAACAAATATGTAAGTAAGTAATATGCCTGACGGAGAAGTTAAAGCAGTGATTAGAAGGTTACTCACTGGATTTGAGAAAAGCATGGAAGACACCAGTGAGACCCTTACCAACAGAGATAACAGAACTTAAAAAAGAATCAGAGATGAAAAGTGCAATAAAAAGGCCTAGAAACACAACTGAAGATATGAACAGCAGGCTGGAAGAAGGAGAGGAATGAATTAATGACCTGGAAGACAAAGTAATGGAAAGCAATGAAACTGAACAAAAGAGAGAAAGAAGAATTATGCAATACTTAGGGAACTCAGTGACTCCCTCAAATATAATAAAAATCATGTTCTAGGAGTCCCAGAGGAAGAAGAAAGAAAAAGGAGGCAGGAAATTTATTTGAATAAATAATAGCTGAAAATTTCCCTAATCTGGGGAAGGAAACAGATATCCAGATCCAAGAGGCACAGAGAACTCCCATCAAAATCAACAAAAGCAGACCCACACCAAGACATATTATAATTAAACTGACAAAATATAGTGATAAGGAAAAAATCTTAAAATCAACAAAAGAGGACAGTTACTTATAAGGGAAAACCCAAAAGGCTATCGGCAGATTTTTCATCAGAGACTGTCCAAGCCAGAAGGGAGTAGCAATATATTCAAAGTGCTGAGTGGCCAAGAATGTTCTGGCCAGCAAAGCTAACATTGAAAACAGAAGGAGAAATAGTTTTATAGACAAACAAAAACTAAAGGAGTTCATGACCACTAACCCAGCCCTGCAAGAAATATTAAAGGGGACCTTGTGAGTAGAAAATAAAAGACCAAAAGTGATAGTTTAAAGATGGGAAACACAAAAGTACTAAATATGAATATTTCTATAAGAAATCAATCGAGAAACTCACAAAATAGAAGGCTGTAAAATATGACAACATATACATAAAATGTGGGGAGGACAAGAGTAGGGAATGGGTTTACACTTAAGCGACCATTAACTTAATATAGACTGCTACATGCAAAGGAGCTTATGTACAAACCTAATGGTAACCATATATCAAAAAGTGCTAATAAACATTCAAAGAATGAACAGAA